AAGATTACGAGATCTTCTTGCATTGAAAACTACGACATCTTCTTGCATTGAAGACCAGGAAGTTTTCTATCATTTAAGACCAGAAGATCTTCTCTCATTGAAGACCAGGAGGTCTTCTCTCATTGAAATCCAGGAAGTCTTCTCTCATTGAAAAACAGGAAGTCTTCTCTCATACGTTTATATGATGATTTTTCAAAACATTTTTACGGAATATATTTCCTAAATCCTAAATGGATTGCTAAATACTCTCCAGGAACAGCATATGAAACACGAATGGCAGGTGTTGGAAAAAAAGAGTTGTCTCCTGATGGTTTCGGGTTTTGAAACTTCTGCACCTCCGAACTTAACAGGTTTTTTGACGCAGGTTTTGATATAGGGTAAGTCTACCAGTAGTCGGCACTTTTAGGATTTTCGCGTTTTTAATCGCTCACCATTCTGAGTGGAACTTTTCAATTATTAAAAAGTTAATTTATTCAGATTCGAAATTTTGTATAGTTTTTGTAATAAAAAATAAAGTTTTAATAACTTTTTATTAAATTATATAAATTTGTAGTTTTATTAAAACAATGCTTTTAGCCAGTAGACGGCACCACTTGCCAACTGTCGGTATGACATTTTCCAACAGTCGGCATACCAATTTTTTTGTATGAATAATTAATAATAATAATAAATTAATTCATTATAATATAATATTTTTGTTTAGTTAAATTGATTCGACGTTTTTTTTTGTACCTTTCTTAAGAATATGGATTGTTGAGGACCTTCACAGACAAAAACTTAATTTTTATTAGAATAAATCATCTTTTCTTAGCGAAATTGTACACAAAGATAGCTGACAATATATTTGAAGTAAACAAAATAGATTTAGTTATAATAGTTTCATTTATTTGGGCTTAAAAATAAAAAGTGCCGACTACTGGGACATGCCGAACTTAGGCACACTTACCCTACCCACGGTTTTTCTAATTTCTTATTATATAAGTAAATTAAATACTGGGCCTTATTTCTTACATACATATTTTCAAAAGCTTTACTCTCAAAATTGCTACTCTCAAGGAACTTAGCTATTGTTTTTTTTTGTTTTTTTTTTTTCAACTCAACATTCCCAATTAACACCATGCCAACGTAATTAATTAAAATCCTCTTCACATGCATATTAAAATTCAATTTATTGTAATCGGTTTGATTAAATTCTTAAAGTATTGAATTACTATCGAAATGTAAATACACTCCAAATGCAGAACTCTTGAAGTAAGTACTTCTTTTCATCGATGTGCTTTGTAAAAATCTCTGAGAAATGTTAAAAATCACTTGAGCATGCAATCACAAGAACAACAGCAGCAAATAAACCGACGACTAACTCACTCACTCACTGACTGACTGACTCAACGACTGTTCAAAAGCCATTTAAATGGATTGCCCTTCCACAAATGGTTAATTAATTGATTTATCACACTTTAAAAATTAATTTGCACAACAATAGTCGTAATTGGTTTGTCTAATCGAACATTGCAAATTAAATTAATGTTAATAGTAATGAGAAAACGATTAAGATTTGCGGTTGATAAAATTCTAATACAATAAATCGTACAACATACACATACATGCGTGTATGTATAAATCCATAAGTTAATAAATATTTCAGATGCTACAATTGTTGAGGATTAAAATTAAGCCGATGAAATTTATAGGTAATAAATTGTATACAATTGTATTGATTTGTGTGTTAATAATAGAAATGTGGGAGGGGGGAAATTATGTCTATCTGTGATGTAAAGATGAATATTTAGTTTGGGGAGAAGTGGTATGAAAGTGAACCATGATGGACAGTGCATGAAGAAATTATTATGTTCCTTTAACCTGCCATACACCCTTGTAAAAATATTGAGTTTCGTAAGCAGATGTGTAATATTTTTTTAATTTCTTAAAGTTTTTTGCAAATAATATTTTCTTTCAAACATAGATCTAGCAATGATATAACCTGGTAGTGACAACTATATGTAACAAAGCCTGCATTCTGGTTATTCCTGCGGAGGGTATATATCATTCTGTTTCATCGAAATAACGGTTTTAGACCTTAGGTGTGAATTTCAGAACATTTGGAGTCGATCCGTCCGCCCGTCCATTCTTCTGACTGGCTGGTGCGCACGATATCTCTCGAAAGGTGAATCCGATCTGGTCCAAACTTAGAACAATGTAATATTATTATCAAACTCACATCGAGTTTGGAGATGGGCAATGTCGGTCCACTCCTCCTGGCAACTCCATACAAAAGGTCAACATTTTTAAAGAAAATAATTTACCTTATAGAAAGAGAAAATATCATACGATTTTGTGAAAACATTGCAATTGCCCATATTTTTGTCAGTGCTAGGTCAGATACGAAAATGGACAATATAGGCCCACTCCATCAAGTACCTCCCCCACGAAGGGTCAACATTTGGAATAATTATACTCTAATAAAATATGAAAAAGGAATCCAATTTCAAATTCACACATTCCACTATTTTAAGTAACACAAAATCAGATGTAAATATGGGATATATGGGTCCACTCCTTCTGTTACCTCCCCCACGGGCCAAAATTTTGAATAGAAATAAAGCTCATTAAATTCGAATGGAGCATCCGATTTCTTTTAAACTAGGCACAACTCTATATATAACACAAGATCTTTTGTGGAGATGGTAGATATCGCCACACTCCTTCTGGTAACTACGCCATGAAGGGTCAAAATTTTCATGCAATTCTCTAAAAAGTTCACACATCCCAATAGTTTTAGTAAAACCATTAAAAAAGAAGCTAAGTTCGGCCGAACTTTTAATACCTTCTACCATTTGGAAAAAAATTGAAAAATTTAAAAAAAAAAAACTTTAAGAGGTGGACCTGCTTACGAAATTTTGTCATAGGCTGTAGTACTCATTACGAACTTCATATACCAAATTTGAAACCGTTCCGGTAAATAATGCCGCTAAAATAATCAAAATATCAAATATCGGGAGGTATCGTTATATGAGGGCTATAGGAAGACGTAAACCTGCAAACATTTTTGTCATAGGCTGTAGTACCCATTACGAACTTCAAACATGAAATTTGAAATAATTCCGGTAAATATTGTCGCTAAAATCATCAAAATATCGAATATCGGGAGGTACCGTTATTTACGATATACGGATTGCATACGAAATTTATTCTCATAGGTTGTAGTAACCATTAACATCTCTCAATACGAAACGATTCCGGTGAATAATGTTGCTGAAAACATCAAAATACCGATTATCGGGAGCAACCGTTATATGGGGTCTATACAAAGCTGTGGACCTGCATACAAATATGTTTGTCATAAGCTGTAGTACCCATTGCGAACTTTAAATACGAAATTTCGGGGCTATACGAAGACGTGGACCTGCATACAAAAATGTTTGTCATATGCTGTAGTACCCATTGCGAACTTCAAATATGAAATTTGTTATAACTCCGGTAAATAATGTCGCTGAAATCATGAAAATATCAAATATCGGGAGGTACCGTTATATCAGAGCTATATGAAGACGTGGACCTGCATACAAACATTTTTGTCATGGACTGTAGTACCCTTTACGAACTTCAAATATGAAACTTGAAATAATTCCTGTAAATACTATCGCAAAAATCATGAAAATACCGAATATCGGGAGGTATCGTTACATGGGGGCTATACGAAAACGTGAACCGACATGGCCCATTTACCAACTTAACCTGCCTACTGGTAAACTATGCATGTATGCAAAATTTTAGCCTTATATCTCAATTCGTTCGGAAGATAGCGTGATTACAACAGACAGACGAACAGACATACGGACGGACATCGCTAGATCGTTTAAAAATTTTACGCTGGTCCAGAAAATATATACTATTATAAATATTTCGACGAGTTACAAACGGAATGACAAAGTTAATATACCCTCCATAGAATGGTGGAGGGTATAACAAGATCTGGTGTGAAGAAGGGGTACATCAGCTCACTGCTTATGGCACCTTTCCCACAAAGGGTTAAAATTTTTATAATAACATTCAAAAAAGTCTGCAATTCTTTTCAAACGTGGTTTATCAAAATATTTCTGTCAAATAGAGATCTTATATAAATATGTAATTTTTCGGCCCACTCCTTCTGGAATCTCTTCTATTCTGGGATTCACATTTCGAATAATTATAACTGACTGAGGCTATACATATATATTTATCCCATTGACGTTAATTTAAATGGCCCAAATGGAGTTGAGTTTGGTGGAAATACTTCAAGGTATGAAAAAATCGGTAAAGATATAGCTATAGCTCCCATGTGTATGTTTCAACCGATTTGAGGTCTAAGTCCCCCACTTTCGTAGTATGAACTCCACAACAATGATATTTGGTACCAGATATCAGATACAGCTAAGAAATACCTCAGCCAAATTTTATTGACATCTACTGAGATTTAGATATAGCTACCATATATCTTCATCCGATTCGACAGTTATTGTGCACCTAATATGTAAATCAGCTCAAATTTACTGATTTTTTTTTACAGTCAACAGAATTTATCTTAGAAGTAAATACGACATTTGTCGAAACTCGGTTCCGATATATCTGGTGCTGCGAAAAATATATTTTAATATGTCATATTATGCACTCTATGACAATGCTATTTGGCACGAGAGGTACAATTGCCTCCATCACATTTGGTGGAAACTGATTCAGAGTTGGATATATCTCCTAAATGTCTATTTCCAAATTACAACTGCTCCAAAGTAATAATACGGATTAAAAAAGGTTAAAGGTTAAAAGGTTATATAAGGGTTTATTTGTAACTGGTAGTTCTGCTAAATACGTATATTGATGTAGGGTATCATAAAGTCGGCCCGCCCGACTTTTGACCTTTCTTTACAGAATTTTTGCATACTTGATGAAAAAAATGTTAAATGTTATTTTCCAATTTTTTATGACAAATTAATTAAATTATAAATCTATTTAATTTTTTACAGCGAAACGAAAATGAAGTTAATTTTTATAGCTGCACTTCTCATACTCAATGTCTCCCAATCATTTCACATGGAAATGAACGATGAGGATGGAAACGGTTTCAACTCACTTTCGACGACAATTGATAGACCAGTCCAGCTCGAGGAAAGGACTGGTCATCGGGCGAAACGCGGCATTTGGGATTTCTTTCAGAAAATGGTCATAACCAAAAATCTAATTGTGGAGGTAAGTATGAAATGTGACCGGAAGGGGCTACTGTATTAATTAAATCAAATTTTCCATTTTCGTCATATAGCAATATACTGATACGAGAGATACCTTGAATGAGGTGTATAATATGTTCAATAGTCAATTTTCGGATCCAGCGCCGTCGAAACCCACACCACGCAGTACAAGCACTGAAGCACCGGTTTGTATGAAAGTGTTCAAATTTGAGGAAATTTGGACACACAAGTGAAAAATAATGAAATGAAAATAATGATTAATTTAAAAAAAAGCACATTAGTTTCTAAAAAAAAAAAAATAATTTAAATTTTCGCCTTTTTACTAAGGCGAAGAGCTTTTGTGAATGGATTTTTGATCATTTTCTTCTTTTTTTTCTAAACAGAAAACGAGCAGTGAAGATAGCACGGATAGTTCTGAAGTGAAAACCACTACCGAACGTTATCAGATATCACGCTACGAACTTGGCCGCATTCTAGGACGTAATTTCAGAGGCCTCAATCGTTTGGCACAAATCGAGTTTCAAGATGCTTTCAATGTCTGTATTAATATCTTAATTATAGTGACATTTAAAAAATGGTATTAATTTATGTTTTTAGGCAACAAAATACAATTTGGCAGAATACAGAGAAGAGGCCAGCAAACAATTTGCCAACAGTTTGGCAGCGGAGAAAAAGAAACAATTGAAGGCACTGGTAAAAGGCTAAACACATACATCCTACTTCAATCTATAAATTTAGTATTCATAGAATATAAAAATAATTCGTAATGTAGTAAGGGGAGGGGAATTGAAATATTTGACAAATTGGTTAAAATTGCATGGGATTTAAAAAAAATTAGTTTTCCGAATATATTTTGTAAACTAGATCCTAAAACTATAATAAACTGTATAACATTTAAGTGTAAACTGTACATAATTATATATAATGATTACATATGTATATATGAAAGAACAACAATTGGTTAAGAACATGGCCACTATATTTAAATGTTTGCTGTGATAAGTTCTAGTTTTTTATAACATAAATAAATTGACATGTAAATAAATCGTAATCATAAAAAAAACAAATTATAAAAAAAAAACTTTTTATAAATAAGATTCAAATGTAACAAGTAAAAAAGCAGCTAAGTTCGGCAGGGGCGAACTTTTACTACCCTTCACCATTTGGATGGAACTTGAAAAATTTCAACAAAAAAATACGAAAATACGGACTATACGAAGATTTGAACCTTCACACAGCTTTACGAGCTTCAAATACGAAATTCGAAATATTTCTGGTAAATAATGTCGCTAAAATCATGAAAATAAGGAAATCCGGAGGTACCGTTATATGGGAACTATACGAAGATTTGAACCTTCACACAAAAAAAATTTTCCATTGGCTGTAGTACCCTTTACGAGCTTCAAATACGAAATTCGAAACAATTCTGGTAAATAAAGTCGCTAAAATCATGAAAGTACCGAATATCCGGAGGTACCTTTATATGGGGGCTATACGAATTTCTGAACCTTCATACAAAAATGTTTGCCATAGGCTGTAGTACCCTTTACGAGCTTCAAATACGAAATTCGAAATAATTCTGGTAAATAATGTCGCTAAAATCATAAAAAAACCGAATATCCGGAGGTACCTCTATATGGGGGCTATACGAATTTCTGAACCTTCATACAAAAATTTTTGCTATAGGCTGTAGTACCCTTTACGAGCTTCAAATACGAAATTCAAAATAATTCTGGTAAATAATGTCGCTAAAATCATGAAAATACCGAATATCCGGAGATACCTTTGTATGGGGGCTATACGAATTTCTGAACCTTCATACAAAAATTTTTGCCATAGGCTGTAGTACTCTTTACGAGCTTCAAGTACGAAATAATTACGGTAAATAATGTCGCAAAAATCACCAAAATACCGAAAATAGGGAGGTATCGTTATATGGGGACTATACGAAGACGTGGATCTGCATACGAAATTTTCTGTCATATTACTACAATATATGAGATCTTCCAATACGAAATTTAAAACGATTCCGGTGAATAATATTGCTGAAATCATCGAGATACCGAAAATCGGGAAAATGGGGGCAATACGAAAACGCGGACCGACATGGCCCATTTACGAACTTAACCTGCCTACTGGAAATGGTTCGAAAAGTAAAGAAGCGACTTGATCGAAAACCGCGTCGCAGTGACCGAAAAATGGCTTGTGAGCTGATAATATCGCCATTCGGCATTTCGTTCGGCAAATATTGAAAAATGAGTTCGGGGTAGAGCCATTGAAATTTCAGAAAGAAAATAGAGTCAAAAGAGCTGGTTGGTCCGCTTGGCCGTTGGTCCGTTGGGCTGGTTGGTCCGCTTTGGTGAACTGCCAAATTTGGTTTTCTCCGATGAGAAATCATTCGTTGTCCAGCAAAATGATAATGTTTACTTGCCAAAGAGGTCAGATGAAAACGAGCACCTTCGTTTGGGCACCAGAACTCATGTGCCGGCCATGGTGATTGTGTGGGCCGCCATAACAGCCGATGGTTGCTCTCCGCTCGTATTAATCGACCGTGGCATCAGAATAAATGCCGAATATTATCGCAAAAATGTTCTGGAGGGTGTGTTAAAGCCTTGGGCACGCAAACATTTTTGCCGCAGACCTTGGACATTCGGACAGGACAGGACTCAGCACCATCGCACCCAGCACGCTCCAGCAAAGAATGGTTACAAAATGAGGTTCCTCGCTTCATTTCCAGCGCACAATGACCACCAAAATCAACGGATATCAATCCGTTGAACTATTGTGTCTGGAGTATTTTGGATACAAGGTTGGCACTAAAAATACCAAAATGTCGATCACCTCAAGCAAGTGCTTCGCCGGGAATCTGTCAAAATACCGCAGAGCAACATTCGGGTGAGTGTGACGGTATCATTGGCCGTTTGAAGGTCATAATTCGTACCAAAGGTGATCAATTCGAACAAATCTAAACTCATTCTAAAATTTGAAGCTATTTCCGACATTTTTTGATTTCATTTAAATAATAATAAAAAAATTAAAAAAGAAAAAATAATAAAAATTATGGCGTTTGACTTTGTTGACAAGCTTAATATACCCTCCATACTGCATGTATGTGGAAGGGCCAAAAATATCAGTCAATTATATCTGGCACTTTGCCAATAAAATTCCATGGTGATAACATCTCGTAAAATTTTAAATTATTGTCCGATAATTTTTTTGTGAAACTCCTACTCATCCAACTGTATTCCTTTATTCAAGTGCGAAAATAGACAACCTCGGCCCAGTCCTCGTACATCCCCGAAAAGTGTAAATATTAATTGTTCTCATAAAATGCAAATTTCTGTATTTTTGAAAACAAAGCATATTCGAATATGAATATTGAAAATATTGGTTCAAAATTCCTATGATATTTATATTTCTGGTTGATGTCAGCATGGAGTCATTACTCCCTTCTTTGGATAGACACATTGTTTCAGAGATCATAATAATTTTTGTGTTGTGCTGATAATATTTGTTTAATTTCTTATTCCTCTATTCCATCCAAATCAATCGGCCACATTTCAAAAAAAAAAAAAAAAAAAAAAAAAAACACAACCACCAAAACTAGACAATTGTAAGTGAATCATTCAGGATTTCTGGCTCTCCCAGTGGAAAAGGAAATTGCATCAAATTAAAAAGTTTGATTTTTTCATAATTTTATTGGGAAACTTTATTTTATTCCGTTTTACGCCATAGAACTTCAAACATGACGGAAGTGATAAAGAAAAACGAAAAGAAAAAAAAAATATCAACAAAACAAACGCTGAACAAATGCAAAGAACAACAAAACAAATGAAAAAAAAATCCTCCTTTTTTCTACGAATGATTTTTTCCACAATTTCTTCTTTTTCGAAAAAATATATAAACTTAAACAACTCAAATCATTTCTTCCTTTTTGATGCAGAACTCAAAATCCCAATAGCAGCTCACAGAGGGGGTAAAACGGAAAGTTTTTTAAAACATTTTATTTTTTTGCGTTTCTTTTTCTTTGCCTGCATTTTACTTCTTGAACAAAAAACCACTAAAAGTGTCATAATTCGATGCCCACGAGACGTCTATATCTTTGCGAATGAGAATTAGTTTGGAAGCCAAAGCCACAGGCGGAGAGCAGAACCAACCAAAATAAAAAGGAATGAATGAAAGCAACAGGAAAAACAAAACACAATAAACATTTTAAACCTATACAAGTTGCATTTAAGCTCAGCACCAACCAACCACCCATCCAACCAGCAGCATGTACCGTCAAATGGCATTGGCAACAGAAGTACACCAGCATTGGTAGCACAAGCCCACCAGCATCATTTTTAAGCATTAACTTCTAGTTTAACAAATATGACAGAAACATTCACATAGTTCGAAACTTACAAATAGATGGAGGTACGAATGAGTCTGTGTGTCTGTGTGTGCTTATGACATTTATACGAGTACGTTTGTGCACAAATGTTTACTTAAGTGCAAAACTTTACAATAACACAAAGACGGTATTGGCTGGCCGTGTTCTAGGAGGCTTGGGAAGGAATTTCGGATGAAATTCGGAAAGACATTAAAAAAAAGTAAAATAGTATCAGTCGGTTTTGCAGACAGCTGTATACCCCCAGCCATGAACTATAATTTTTCAAATTGTTGACCCTTTATGGGGCAGGTTCCAAAGCAGTTGGCCAATATTGACCAAAAAAGGAGTGGACCGACAGATCTTGTGTTAGTAGAAATAATGGGATGTGTGAAATATAAAGAGAATCTGATGCTTATTTCGGATTTTATAAACGTTTTGCTTATTCAAAACTTATACCCTTTGTGGTGGAGGTACTAGAAGGAATAGTCCGATCCCTACCGTTTAATTATAGATTCTGTTTGATAGAAATATTCAGATGCGCCAAGTCTAAATGGAATCGGATGTTAATCTCGCGTTTTATGAGATTAATCGATATCCAAAATTTCATCCTTTTGTGGGGGAGGTATCTGAAGGAGTGGAGCGATATGTTCCATCTTAACGCCATATCTCGGGTGTATAAGAATATTAGGATGTGTTAAATTTTTAGACAATCGGATTCTTACATCACATTTTATAAAATGTTATAATTATTCAAAATTGTTGTTGCTTCCCTTTCTGTGTAGAAAAAATATTTTTTTTTTTTTTTTTGATAATTTCGACCTCTTGTGGGGAAGGTACCGGAAGGAGTGGATCGATGTATTCCATCTTGGCACCTGATCAAAATTTAGACGCTCTGTGGGGGAGGTACTTGATGGAGTGGACTGATACATTCCATTTTCACACCTGGCGTAGCACGGACGCAAATATTAAGATTTGCAAAGTTGGAGCAAAATCGGATTATGGTTTCTCTTTCTGTGCAAAAAATATTTTTTTGAAAATTTCGCCAAATTTCTCCGAACTCGATCTAAGTTTGAGAATAATATTACGATGTACCAATTTTTTTATCAAATTGGATACTCTCCTGCAGAGTTATCGTGCGCACCAGCCAGACGAACGGACGGACATCGCTAGATCGACTCCAACGGATTTGGTCCAAAGAGACCTAGGGTCTAAACCCGTTATTTCGATGAGGCACGTTTTGGCCGTATCAAATGATATATACCCTCTGCAGCCATATGGATGAGGGTATAAAAACAATAAAAGAAAGCCCAAAGTCGGCCGGGGCTGACTTTATGATACCCTACACCAA